ACTCCGTCGAAAAATTCCTCCCTCATTAATTTTGGTGGCGATTAAACCCTCTTTTGGGCACCCCTTCGTGTAAGTTATGGTGAAATATTTTATAATGTAGTCGTTAACTGTTGTCATCTGTAGGTCTTTATATTAAGTAATGTTATTGACGAGGCAGCTTTGGTGATAGTCTTGAAAGTTTTTTAAAGAAAAGTCTGTAGTTTACGCATGTGGATCTTTTTGGCTATTCCGTATATCTGTGAAGCGTGGGTCCAAATGGGCTTAAGTAAGTAAATTTCGAATGTCTCGAAAGGAATGAGTATAATAGCCGTAATCTTAGGTATAGAGTTTGTTAAGTTCTTGATATATAGTCTCCATGTCATTTTTCTGTCAAATGTCAGTCTAAGATATTGAACTATGTCTGTCTGAAAAATTTGGACAAGTTTCTCTTCGAAGTGTAAAAGTAATATGTTGTGATTTGTCTTGGTTGGACTTACCAGAGTTTTCGATTTATGTGTGTTTTCAATTAATCTAAGAATTTTACAGGATGCTTGATTCGGCCTGTTATACCTTAACCGCGGTTTTTTTCACTACTCCTCTAGATTTGTTTTCTTTCTTGTCTTGCAATTAAAAGCATAACAAAAGATCATTCCAGTTATAATTTTTATCTGTGGTACAGCTTTTTAATTTGTTTTAATTTCCTCTGGAATGAACCGTATCATTTATTCATTCCTCCTTGGTCCCATCACATGTTCAACTTCTCGTGACGAATCGATCTAGCCGCGCTGGGACGTGGGTCTCTTCAAAACGGTTTCTCCGCTAGGTTTCAAATTTCTTGCCAATTTCTTAGTTTAACAGGGCCGTTTTTACGGGTATCCGTTAAAATTTCGTCAGCAAGTTTAACGGGGATTTTCATTCACAAAAAATTAAAAAAACATATGAACGGAGCTTTCTGGGAGCTTCTGTTGAAATGTCGCTCGCAAATCGTTATAAGATGTAATGACAATCATACTGTTTTTATTCATTTTATCATTTATCAACGTTTTATTCTCCTAAACCGTTTCTAAACAACATATTACTCTAAACTAATAAGTGGAATGAGATAACGTTCCTGAGATCACAGCTCTTTATAACGGTTATGTGAAAATCATCAAATGGCAAAAAAAAAATGTATTTGAAATAAAGCAGGATCAAGCGGTAAGCAGACAAGCAAACGACTCCTACGGGATCCTGAGTTTTTAAAATATTTTAACTTGAAGATTGAGAATTTATTGAGGATTCCGAAGAGGATCTTTTTTTTTTCTAAATAATCAAACAAATTTAAAACCAAAATTTTTAAATTAATGGCCTTTAGATTAAAACTGTTTTCGAAGGGTCCGAAATACCTACATGCTCTCTAACTAGAAGAATATTTTACAATAAATTTTGATTGAAACGTTTATAAGATCTAAAACCTATTATAATAATATATGTTTAAAGTATATAACGTTTTTATTTTTAAATAAGTTGATACATAATTAAAATCTTTGATAGGCAGTAAGTAATGAAACACACAACTATGTTAGTTTGTACCTTAAAATAATTCATCTTTAAATTGATTAAAGATTTTTTTTTTTAAACAAATACTTATTTTTGGGAGTTTTCTCAAGGAGCGATGGCCCATAGGTACTGGAAGATTCACGTAAGGGAGTCTATTGAATAAAACGTCATAAAAAATGTACCATAAAAGAATTATAGTTTCTATGATAGCGAGATTTTTTTTTAACATTTCTTCTGGGACTATTTAAACATCACTTCATGTAGTCAGTTTCTTTCTTTATCTTTCAGAATAATTATCGTTATAAAAAAAAAAGTCTCTCTGAAATTAAATCCTGAATCTGCTACTTTCCGTAGATGCTTCTTGCAGTCACAGAAAACCACTAAGTACGGACCCTTTTGGATTGAAACGATTCCGAAATTTATTGCGGACTAGCTTTACCCGGCCACACGCTGCTGTGGCTTAGCCTGGCAAAATGAAAAAGAAAGGAAATAGAAAGCACATATGAGTAGATTAATAGCAAAGGACAAGTGTCATTTTTAAAAAGTTGGGAAACAAATTTGTCTGAAAAATGGCTTCAATTTAAACTAATTCTAATGATTTTTTTTTTCGTGATACATATTGAACATTCGTAATCATCTGAGTGAATACGCCGTCATTCATAATCATCAGAAACAGTCTGAGTTGAACTTATAAAACTAAAATAAAAAATTAATATAAAGAACGTATAATAGTATTGACCTACATAAGGATAATCATATAACTTCTTCAAATGATAATTAGTAATTATAAAATTTTCGATTAATCAATAAAAAAAAAAAATGCTTGCCTACCTTCGGTAGTAAGGAAGCAAAAGGAAGGAAAGCAGTAAATGTTTAAAACTCTATAACTCTGCAACGAACTGTCCGATTTCGATGATTTCTTTTTTTTTTATTTTGTCAACAAAACAGAAATCTTTCATATAAATATGGGTATTATCCATAAAAAAATCTGCACTTTTTTAGTTATTGTCAAATTACCTTAAAAAAATTGTTTTACCTTAAAAAAATAATTTAACCCACTTTACTCCTAAGGCCGCTAAAAATAGTTTTATTTCGGAGATAATGCTTATCTATTTCGATGACATTTTTTTTATTTTGTCAGCAAATCAGTAATCTTTCAAATAAATGTGGGTATTATCAGTCAAAACTTCTGTACTGTTTTAGTTATCGTCAAATAAAATATTGAATTCATCGTAACATTTTTCAGCTTGTGAGAAGTATGTGTTACACATAAATTAAAAGGGTTTCAAGGGGAAGACTTTAGCCAAGTTTCGTTAAAATTGGTAAAGCCGTTGTGGCGCTGCAGTTTATAGCGACAGATTTTTTTGCGGCTTTGAACAGAAAAACATTTACTTTTTTTTATATATATAAAATTATCGTAAGACAGAAGTACTATGCCAGAAACCGTCCCAGGAGTGTACGGAACAATTTCCTAAAGTTTCATGGCGATCGGATGAATGGTTTAGTAATGGACCAAGGACAAACAGACAGACATACATTCATTTTTATATATATAGATAGAAGAAGATAATAAACATTGCTTGTACATCGTTGGCCAGCAATGATTCGAAACAATTTTAATCATAACATATATGTACTTTTTACCCTTTGTTTCTTTCTAACTATGCTGGATATTATCTACGTGTTATAAATTGAAGTTGTGTAGTTATTTTTTACTTAAATTTCTATTGTTCTTCTTCATTCGAAATAAAGATATAAAGAAAAATAGTAGAGTTCATCAAAATATAAATATGTAATAAATAAAAATATTGAATAAATATTGAAATCTTTGTCATCCACGAACCTGTTCTTACAATAACCTTGAGTTTAGATCAGTTTTAAAGACAATCACTACCGTGTGAGGGCTCTGCTCTACTGTAAATGTTTAAATTGGTCCAGAGGATTCTATTTCCACTTGGGCCCTTCCAACATCAACATTTATAGACAACAATGGAATATGTGACCGACCTCACGGGCAGTCTTGAGTAGCTGCCAAACTCGACCGACCATTTTAATGAATAGGCCATGTTTGAAATTGTTAATTAATATCATTGGAGATCTATGAATGAAGGATTTTTATTAAAAAAATTGTTATGGTGAATGTGAAGATAAGATGCTTTATCTACGTGAGCAAGGTGAGGCCATCTGCGGTTCTCTTTTAATGTCAACAACTGTCCCTCTCTCCCCACTTCTTGCCTTTTCCGACTCATTTCCCATCTCTCACGTAGGCTTTTCCTCCCTTGCGAAATATTTCTTTTGTTTCATGTGACATGTTACGTAATATTTTTTTTTACTGTCAAATTTAAAAGTTCAACTTCATAAGAAACGGTAAATAATATAATTCAAAGATTTATTCGAAACTTTTCTTTTTAAATTTATAAACGAGCCAAAATAGAACCTGTGACATATACTTTTTAAATATTTTTAAAAATAAGCTAACTTTCAAAAAAGGAATTGATAAATGTATTGAATTCGTTTATGAATCTCTTTCTTTCTGTCCAAATCATATTTATTTCACGATACTTATCGCTACTGTTTGTTCAAAAGGTCGTATTAAAAATTTCCATTTTATTCCATTTGTGCTAGAGGTGACATTTTGCAGTTTGCAACTGCTACAAGTAGTCTGCTATTATGGAAATAGTAGAGGGAAATAAAATATGGAATTATACTAATAAATAATTAAGAAAAATAATCAGTTTTTATGTTCTCTTGTAAAACCTATTTTCCTACGATCTTTTGTACTATCAGTTGCGTTATTTTGAATATCTTAATGCAAGATAACAAAATACTCCATCGCATATACTGAGATGGTTGGAAGTAACAATAGAAAACTTTATTTGCCAAAATTATACCTCCAAAAAAAACTTGACAATATAAATGAAATTTGTCGTAAAAAATCAAAATCATTTACTAATTATTAACTTTATTCCATATCCTACCACTCCGAGCTGATAGGCGAAAGGGCGATTTTTGATTTTTATGTTGGCAGCAGTGCGCGTAAAACCTTCAGTTGTGACATTGCAAGTGGACCGTTGTGTTCTCGAATTAATTTGCTCACATATTCCTTTTTACCTTTCCCTATGTTATCCACAACTGCTATAATGCGGTTGTCCATTGATTTCGACTGCATTTATCAACAATCATAGAATCTTCATGGAAATCTTAAGACCCTGTAAGTGTTATCCCCGTTTAACGGTTTTTCTGTGTTGTGATTTTTGACCGTTGTTTGTTCCATAGATCACCATTTGAATATATTAATTTAAAAGTTATGTTTACAAAGTGCGTTATTCTTCTGTTTATTTAATGTTTAAAGGAACGGTTATTATCTTTGTTTTCGTAAAGGTTATAATGATAATAACCTTTACTAACTGAAATTTCATTTTAATTTAAATTCTCGTATTTTTTCCTGTATAAAAGTGATTCAGTTTAGCTAAAATTTTCAGTTGTGATGAAAGTGATGGCAGTTTCTATAAATGAAATATGCGAGAGTACGAAATTAGCCAGGGAAATGGCTGTGATGGGAAATTATGAATCTTCAAGTGTTTATTACCAAGGAGTTATTCAACAAATCCACAAATTGTTGTTATCAATTTTGGATGAAACTAGAAGAAGTAAATGGCAGCTGGTAAGTCTAACCATTCTTTTTGCCTGGTGTACATACCACATAATCAGCCACCATAAAGCTATCACTATCCTTTTCATTTATTTTTCCTAAAGTTGGCATAACATGCTAATTATTATAATTTTTATGAGTTAATATAATCTAATTAGTAAGTTTTGTTACTTTTCTAAATAATTAATTAGTGTGTTATTGTTAAAAATAAATTTTTATAAGCTTCTGGTTTGATTATTTTAGGTGCAGCACCAAATTGCTCAAGAATATGAGAAGCTTGTAATAAATATCCAAACCCTTGAACTATTTAAAAGAGATCATAGGGATAATCGACCGATCGGTAACTTTTTTTTTATCATATTTCAGTCAGATCTCACTATATTTTTATATTATACTGAAAACATTATTATTTTATAATTATGAAACATCATTTATTTCTTACTTCTTATTCTGGCTCAAAGCCCCTTAAAAATAGCTGTAGTGTACAGAGAATTAAATATTTAGTAAATCTTGTTTAAATAAATCTTCACGGCTTCGTTAGTGGCCACATACTTAAACCGAAATTGTATTTAAGGGATTCCTGTGAGAAGTCCCCTGCCTTATGAAGAACCTACAAGGGATCCTGTGATGTGGCTTGGTACTCCTAAGGATGTATGGGCTCCACCACCTGATCGGGACCCTGATGTATGGCCTCCACCTACACCCGTTGATCACAACAGGTTCATTTTTTATTGAATTACTCTATATGGATCCTTGAAATCTTTTTGGCAGTCAAACTTGGTGTCTTTCATTCAACTAATCCATTAAAATAGCATTTTGTAGGTCAAAAATATTAAATTGTATCATCAAATATTCTTTTGTTCTTTTTACAGTGCAATATTTTGATCTTGAATGCCTAATATTTTCAATTATATATCTATTTATAATTACCTTTAAAGGAAAACATTTTACTTAAGAGATAACATTACTCCAAACGAAAACATTTATTTATGATATATGCAAAAATTCCAGATTTAGTTCTCTATGAAACTATAAACTAGTTGTTCATGAAACCTTACATACTTTCTGGAAGTTAAGAACACAATAGTGATTCTAATTTTGGAGTAATCTATAACGTAGGATGTTTAAACTATATAAAAATCTTTCTACTTTTTCATCTCCTTTTAGTAATTTATTTATCAACGTATTATGTTTAAGTACTTATTTTGTTATATTGTTTCATAGGACACCTGTTAATAAAAGGTTACCAGCAAAGAAACCCGATACTTCCAAACCTGGAGCAAAGAATGCTGTTAACAAAACAAATACACTAACCAGGAGAACTGACAATAAGATCCTGTCTAGTAAAAAAACCAACGAGAAAGGAAATAACAAAACTACTGTGCCAAAAAAAGAAACCAATGGCAATACTGCTCACACTAATGTAATTTTGATTCTTTTTTTTTTTTAGCTTAATATTTCTAACATTGATTATCTTTTAGTTTTATTTTACACTAATCTTAATAATCTTTTTCAGGGTGATAAAAGTGATAAAGAAAAGGAAACACAAGAAAATAATGAAACTCCTGAAGAAAGGAGATTCGACCCTAGTGGTTATGATCACGACCTGGTGGAAATGTTAGGTTGGATATATTTTTGTTTTGCTTCGTTAGATTTTTTTTTTTTTTTCAATAGTTCTTGGCTTCTTGATAAACCATTGTCCTTTTTTTGTTTAAATCAAATTTTCACTGTTCACTGTAAAGCAAACAGATTTTTTCCATCATCATAATTTTCTATGATGTGGATAAAAGATTTGTGTTTAATTTTTTATTAATAGTAATAATTTTTTTAAAATAAATTCCTTTTCATTTTTTTAATATAAGAAATGAGATTAAAAAATTATGCTAAATATTAGATATTGTTTCTTTTTATTCTAACCGGCAATGCTAAACAATAAAATGTCGATTGGAGGAAGTTGTGTAATGTGAAAGGGGCCTTAGAGGCATTATATGACTCTAATGAATGTTATTAATTAAAGGTTGATGCTTTTCTTGGAAGTTAGAGAGTGAATTTTATTAATTGTACAGATATAATACTTTAGAACCAATATTTTCCCCATTGACTCACTTAACAACATATTTATTTATTAATTATTGATACTTTCTCAACTTATCTCCTCTCTTTACGTCAAGGTCAGAAAAATAAATATGTATACTTTGATAGGGACAGCTAGGTCATATGATCAATGAGCTTTTTAAACTGTAATTCTGTATTATCTCTGTGGGATATTGTTGAAATTATTATTGTAATTTAAAATTATAATCGCTTGGAAATTATAGGTCAATTGAGTTATTTATCAATCAAAACTATCTACTATATTATTTAGGTATAAATTTTGATCATTTATTTTTATTATGATTCTATTCCAGAGAGGGATATCGTCCAAAAGAACCCAAATATCAGGTGGGATGATATAGCCGATCTGCATGAAGCCAAAAGGTTACTCGAAGAAGCAGTGGTTTTACCCATGTGGATGCCTGACTTTTTCAAGGTAAAGTTTAAGTTATATTGAATATTTAATAGTTGACCATTGCATTATTGAGAAAGGTGATGGTCCGGGGTGGCGATCATAAATAGACTAAATAGTGGCAAAACTATTTTATTAGAAGCCAACATTTCGACTTGACATGTTTCTAGTCCATTCTAGCTCTGAAGAAGATCTGCAAAGTCGGGTCGAAAAGTTGGCTTTAAATAAAATAGTTTTGCCACTATTTAGTCTATTTATGATCGTCACCCCGGACCATCTTCTTTCTTAAAGTTTAAGTTATTTCGTATGTGTGGCAATTAATTTCCAATCTGCTCGATCTATTTTCAAAACTTTTTCATGAAATACTAAAAACATATGATTACACTGTTTGACCTAGGTAAAATCTTGAACTTATTAGGCCCATTTTAATACTGGATTGTTACATTTTTGGTCTGTGCAACTTGACTAGGCTATGTAGTGCATTAAAAAATAAAATACTAACAGTTTATAAAAAAAAATGGATTGTACTGATTATGAAAATAATCACTTCTAAAATGGCTAAAATATTGCTGTATTAACTGATGGTCCCCTTTATCTATTATCCACTAAACAAGAAATATCACAAATTGATTTGCTCTAAAGTAAGAATAATGTCTTCAAAAATTGTATTAATTGTGTAGATTTCCAAAATTATTTTATTTATCGTATTTGATAAATATAAAATATGATTGATTTGCTTGCTGTTGGAGTAACTATAAACCCAGTGCTAGATGTTTTTTCTAGTGTGGAATATTTTATGGCCATCGATAATTCTTTCACATGCCTAACCATCTTACCCTTTTTATAGCTGTTAATGGTATGTTGTACTTTTTATTTTCAGTTACCTATGTATGAAATATATAGTAAGGGACAGTATTGCGAATGTGAAAATTTCCGATTCTGAATTTTCAACGAAAATACATGTTTTAAGCTCTCCTGAGTCCAAATAACCAAGTCCTGCAAAATGGTCTGTGTGTGCGTGTGTCTGTATGTATGTGACAGATCTAGCTCAAAAACAAAATGTTTTATGGAAATAAAATTGCATATTTAAGATTTGTATATATCGGAGATGTTACAGTAACTTTTTCGTCAAAATTAGCTAACCAGAAGTGGCACTTTATATCATCGATGAAACATATCTTTACTATTTTCTCAAAAACTGCTCCAACGATTTGATTAAATTCATTATATCAGCATGAAATTAAGCAGTTTTTAATATTACATAGGTTTTATTCTCATTTATGATCTCTAACAAGGCTTACATGGCTAATTTTCAATATTAGCTTTCTCTAAAGTACCTTTAATTTTTTTTTATTTGAAACAATTTACCATTTCACATTAATCTTTAATATAAAAAATAGTTCAATATAAAATATGCAAGAATTTGATAATTAACTTAAGGAGAAATATGAGATCATAGCAGAGAATAGTTGTAATGAAAAACCAAAGGGATACGAGAGCTTGCCCGAAGATTAGAACAGGCTTCCATTGTAACGTGAGCTTAATATAATATGGACTCCGAAAATATTATGTATATATACACATGCGGTTTTCGTTGGTATTATTTAATATTTAATTGTATAGATTACAGCGATATAAATATTAATATTTGTATATATTATGGTACTTAAACAAATAAAGATATCCACAATGAAATATAAATCAATATAGCTATAGTTTATAATTTTTACTTTCACTTCCTTTTGTCTGAAAATACTTATTTATTGTAAGAAGAGGGTGGTAAATGAAAGTTGTGTGATGCGCGCACCGTACCAGATATTTTAATTCACTTACTACCATTTTTGTGGCTCTAAGTCTTTATAAACTGCAAACATCCTATGATTATAATCAAATGTATAGTCCATTAGGCAAAGTCAAGTTCATAGCTGTCCTCGAAAGCAATCACAAATATATCAAGAAACTCGTTAAGACTTTAAAGAGGGACGCAGAATAAATCAGCCTGCAAGTAAGTAAAGATATATAAAACGTATGAAAGCAAGCTGAAAATTCTACCCTCTCACCAGGATCTACATAGAAGGGAAATCGTTCCTCAGAGGGATAAATTCACAATAACTTTAATGAATGACCAACAACGGACAGAAATAGACCAATGCATAACAAGTGCAAACGGAGCTTTTAAAGGTATTCGAAATTATAAAATGTCTGCAGCAAGTTAAGAAAGCTATCTAATTTGACATTTAATGTTCCATTAATTTTTTTCCCAATTAAAAGAATACAATTTTAAAAATATAGTTGTATATTAATGGAATTTTATTATATTGATGTCGGATCATTTGTGCATTACTCTGTAGTTTAGTGTCATACAAATTTGCTGTTAGCGAAATAAATATGTGAAATATATTGGTCATGATTTATAACATAAATATTTTGAAATGAAATAAATATGAAACTTATTTTTCTGTCATTGCCATGATTCTGATGAAGGTTTGTCAAAGCACAAAGGTACCTGCATTAATTGTTGATCATTGTTAAGTTATTAAGTGATAAATTACACCTTCTGTCCTTTTTGAAATAAGGTACTGTTGTTTAGATTTATTGGTTCTCTCAAGAACCAACCACATCTCGCTCTTATCTAACCTCATAATATTTAAATTTGGTTTATTTTCTTTTATCTCATATCTTATCTTAATAAGTATAACTTCTTATCTAACTAAGTTTAGATAAATTTGATTTATACATTTTATTTTTAATTCAAAGATTGTGTCAAAACTAATTATGGCAAACTTTTATTCAGCTCTATATTTTTGAAGTCTTTAGGTACCTTCAGTAGCTATTAGGTCCATTCTTTTCAAAGTTGTTTTTACAGCAAAGGATGAGCATGGGAAACCCATTTGATTTCAATGTGGCCCACAGCCAAAAATTTTATTATTGTGCAGAAATATTTTTTAATATTTTATATTATATTTTAATCATTCATTATTTTTTATATTTATTTCTATTAATTTTCAAATTTTTGAAACCTAAACAATTACGGTCAGCACCAGTGATGGACATAGCTAAGGAAACTTTTGTCTTTTTTGACTTAAGCCGCCATAATTATTATAGTTATATAAACTTCTCCATTGGACATTTAGAATCTCTTGGGTCTCCTTTTCCTAATTAACACTTTAAAATTGAAAAAAATAATCAGTTATGCAGGTATAATTTTCATATAAAAAAAACCTTTTTGTGCACTAGTGATGGGCACCCAAAAATTCATTGTTCTTGTAATTGACAGGGGGGGGGAGGGCTCAGTAGCAGTAATAGACATATCTCAAAAAAATTCTAAAATTTTTATTTAACTATAAAGATAAGATAACATAATTATTCAACTTAATCTTAGCAAAACTATTAGTAGGAAGGTATGAAACACACTCATCTCAAGAGCACTATAGAAACAACAATGATGGGCATTTTAAAATTTTCATATGGAAACTTTGGTCATACAGTTGTCAATAGAGGGCGTTGTTCTTCAATCTAGAAAAAAATGGAATCTTCAAATCAACAAGGAAGCTTATTATTTACATTTAAAGTCCAACCTGTCCATAACTGGTGTGTTCACCCTAACTATTAGTAATTAATTATATCACTAGATAAATGAAAATCGTGCTAAAGCATACAGTCTTGAGATCGCAGGTTCCCACAACCTATGATGTATACCATTACTTATAATTTCTGTAGGTTATATTTTTCCATTATTTTCTGTAGGTTTAAATTATATTTGTAGTTGGTTTTTGTTCTTAATCATATACTAACATATATGTTTTTTATTATTTGTTACAGGGAATTCGTCGACCTTGGAAAGGTGTGCTTATGGTTGGTCCTCCCGGTACCGGGAAGACCATGCTGGCAAAGGCTGTTGCTACTGAATGCGGAACGACTTTTTTTAATGTATCTTCTTCCACCCTTACCTCTAAGTACAGAGGTGAATCAGAGAAACTAGTCAGGCTTTTGTTTGAAATGGTAATGATCAGTTTAAATATTTACTTTTGCTTAATATTTTTATTTTTAATGTTTATTGAGAATTAAAAACTTCCTCATTTCTTCTAATTTGATCTTGTTCAAAAACATTGAAAAGAAATAAATTAGTATAATCTTTTGTTCCTTTTATTCACTACTCACTAGGCCGTTAGATATCGATAGTAAATATTCCCAAACCTCTTCTTTTTGTTTTTTATACAAGTGTGAACTAAGTAACTAAATAACAAATAAAAACTAAGTTAACTTAAATAACAGTTTACACCATAAGCAGACCCTACACGGTAATTCATGAATGAACGTTACAAGAAGTGCCAAGATTGCCCGCGATCGCTTTGATCATGAAGACCCTTACACGTTCAATCATTACTGATCATTACTTATCGTTGCTGATACCAATTTAGCTCAGTTGTAAACAAAGGAACAGCATAGATATGCTTATTTGGACATTGTCATTTATAATATTGGGCATCAAGAGAAAAACGGAGATATAATAATTACTTCCTAGTGCCTGAAAATCGTTTAGACCAAAGTTAGAAAAACATAAGTCAACTACATACAAAAATCTAGGAAAAGTATTGAGAAAATAATCAATTTGTTAAGAAAAATGGAAAAATTAATGGCAAATAAACACAACAGTTAAAGATTTTTTTTCTATAAGTAAATTGTGAAGTTTCCACTTTTTTTCTCTTCAATTTATTGCCTACTTGACTATTTATAGAAAAAATAGTTGAAAATGGTTAATAATAATATAGACTAGGGATATAAACAACTATTTACTTAATAACGAGACCTAGGTAAACTACACTATCTAGTAGTAGTCTCATAGAAGGTTAGTCTCATAGAAAATCGTTTTGACAAAAGTTAGTAAAATATAAGTCTACTACTTACAAAAATTAAGGAAAGGTATTGCAAAAATAATAAATTTGTTGAGGAAAATGGGAAAAGAACTGATAAATATACACAACGTTAAAGTTTTTCATTTTCCTAAAGTAAATTGTGAAGTTTCCTCATTTTTTTTTTTTTAATTTGTTGCCCACTTGACTATTTAAAAGAAATAGTTGAAGATGGTTTAAAATTATAAACAAGGGATATGAAAAATTATTTAACTATTTACTTATAACGAAAATCAGAAATGTATAATGGTTGTGAGGCCTAGGTAACCTAACCTAAACAGCAGTATGGTTAGTCTCCCCACTACTTTTACCTCAGTCCCCCCTCCACTTCTCGTGAATGAACCTTTGATTTCCGGATGTTCGGAAATCCGCAGCGCACCACCATCAGTACTTCATTCACTACCTTACACGACAATTCGGAACGTCATTAGTGCAATTCCGATTGACCCTGTAGGGTCCCCTCTCTATATAGGTAGATCCATAGAATGTAAATAATTAGGTCCTCATTAAAGCTTTATATTCCATGAGATGGTCAAAACTCAACCCATTTTCAAAGAGAGGAAGTTTGACTGAGATGATTAAACAGTAAACAGTTATGTTAACTCTTATACTTTATTATTTCTCAAGAGATGGCTATGTAGTTGACTATTGAAATTATAAGGATGAAAAAAAAAATTGTCATAATTTGTTGTCTAAAATTTCTTTAACGGGTTAGGCGACGTTTCGACCCAAATGACGAGATCATGATCAGAACTAAAAATGAAAAAATATTTACCAACAGCCAAATGAACAAAAAATTACACTTATTTATTTCTTTTCAATATTTTTGAACAGTGAATTACAGATGAAGAAGATTCTCATTCTCAATACATACTAAAAATAATACAGAAAAATGATAATATAAAAGTATAGGAATAAAAAATAACAGTCATAAGATATTAATGATAGGACTAAATCAATAAGGAAATAATAATAAGAATAAGGAATATCGTCAGAAAAATGATAAATGTAACAGTATAAAAAAAAATAAAAGGTGAAACATACATTATATTCTTTTCTTATTCTTTTATATTTATAATTTTTCCAATGTTATTCTTTACTCTCATTACTATTACCTTATTTATTTATTCTTATCCTTTATAATTCATTTTTTTCTGATTATTATTTTTTGATTTTTAGCTCTGATGACCCACATGTCGGCTAACTCATTAAAGAAATTTTTGACTACAAATTCTGACAATTTTTTTTTTCCATGCTTATTATTTCTTAAGAATCTATTAATAGATTAACTTACCTCAAATATAGAATTCCATTTCTGTTTTGTAGATTATCCTTCTCTACTCTCCTGCATTTCATTTCATAATGTTCTTTAAAATATAATAATCATGTTTTTAAAACATACTAGTAGCTTTCACTAAAAATTTTGTGCCTCAACTCTTTAGCTATGACTAACCAATATCTGTCCTGCTTGACCGACCACCAATGGCTTTGTATTCTGTGATATTGCATTAGTGTCTGTAATTTTTTTATTTTATTTTTTCAAGGCTATTTCTATATTTAAATATAATTTGTCCATTTTCAATACATCCATTCAATGGTGCCTTTATTTATACAGTGTCAAAAAAAAAAAAAAAAAAAATGATTTGATATTGTTAACTCTCATACTCCTTATTCTTTGAAGTGGAATTCTTGATTGTAGAAAATTCATTATCATAGAATTCTATTTGATTATATAATTATTTTTTATGTATATAATATATAACTGGATGGCTCTTGCGAATAATTCGTTTAGTATGTTGGTTAGTGATCAAATGAGAAATTAATTAGAAAATAAAATAATGCAGCATATCATAACATGGAGGAATCAATTCTTATTTTTTCAATGATTATAATTGATGAAGGAAAAGAAAATTATTTAAAAACTTCGTTCATCTTTTCAGCCAACATGTTTAAAAATTAAAATAATCTGCATATTTGCTAATAATGTTCTGATTTCAGCGATTTTTTTTTTTTCTTAATGTTTCGTAGGAACATTAGTAGTTACTGTTTTTTTCCTTTTTCTTTTTCAGGCACGATTTTATGCACCTTCAACAATCTTTATAGATGAGATTGATTCACTATGTTCCCGTAGAGGTTCAGAGTCTGAACACGAAGCTTCTAGGAGAGTAAAGTCTGAACTACTCGTCCAAATGGACGGTATTAGCTCTAACAGTGATGATCAGGGAAGGGTAGTCATGGTATTAGCTGCAACTAACTTCCCGTGGGATATCGATGAAGCATTAAGGAGAAGATTGGAAAAGAGGATCTACATTCCCCTACCTAACAGTAAGTCATATCTATTCATGTATATATATATATATATAACATAACATAACATAATTTTTATTATGTTAGCAAAACTATTAGTAGGAAAGTATGAAACACACTGATCTCAAGAGCACTAAAGAAACAACAATGATAGGCATTTTAAAATTTTCATATGGAAACTTTGTTCATACAGTTGTCAATAGAGAGCGTTGTTCTTCAATCAAGAAAAAACTAGAACCTTTAAATCAACAAGGAAGTTTATTATTGGATCACTAAATATATAATAATCTTTATTATGTTTATCCTTACAGTGTAATATCAGAGAGTTTAAGAACATGATGATTAGATAAAATTGCTTACGATTAAGTAAATCACAGTTGTCTTGTTTTTCTTTTCCTTTTTAATAATATGAATAAAATAAAAATATGTGAATAACATGCTCCTAGTCACCCGTCAGCTCATAGTATAAAGGAAGGAATAGTTAGAGATGAAAAATGATGATGTTTCCTAGAGTCTACTTCCTAAATAATGAGGCTGAAAATTTATTTTTATTTGTGGATATTTTAGCATTTATTATAATTGGAAAGAAAGAAAAATGAACCATCAGGTTAGGGACCTCTAGATACAGGCAGAGAAGAACGTTTTTATAAAATATATACTACAGACAAGAGAAGTATAGAGAGGAATTAAGTGAGAAAATTTACTGTTTAAGCACTTTGATTTGGAAGGAGGTGATATCCCATCTTTCTCCATCCCTCTATCAACAAGTAATTTTTTGGAGAAGCTAGGTGCTTAAAAGAACCAGCTAAATAAAGAGCCTGGTGAGATGCATAATTCTGGACTCATGAGGAATCCTTCATCACTACCTGTATTGATTTTAAACTTAGCTTTGTCCATTCTATGCACAGGAAGGAAAAGAAAGAATCTTAGCATGTATATCTATTATACATTCTACTATTGCTCTAGAGGTATAACTTGTACCTCCATAACCCATGAAGAATCCTCCATTCAGTACTATGTAGGGAAGATACTGTTTCTTGGTCAACGGTTATTCAAGGAGGTGATTTTACTGAGATCACACTCAGCTGCCAGGTTTTCCCCCTTAATCAATTATTTAATTAAGGATACCCACTTTTTATAGAGGTTGGGTTTGCCCCAGGAGTGTCACTCGACCCCATGATCGATCCACGGCTGATAAAACAGGTGTATGAAATGTATATATTTTTGAATTCTCTTTGATCCAAATTTTTTGTGGTCTGAGTTGGGGCTCATGCAATCATTAATTCATATTACCAAGTATAAACTGTATTAATTTAAAAAAATAAAATAACTAGTCTGTTAATTACATCTCAGTTAATTCTAAAACCTATTAGATAAAATTTATCATTTTATATTAAATATTGATGTCTTATGACAAAATATATAAGTGATATTAGTTCTTGAGCTCTCTCCCCTCCAGTGATGTCGATTATTCTTTTGAGACCAATGTGTTCTTGAAAAAAAGATACTAAAGTTTTGTAGGGATAATATTAGATCTGTAATGACTAGTTTTAGTTATATAGGTCGAAAATTCATAATAGAAATAATTTGTGTTATAATGAACTGGCACTAAACTGTGGCTCAAAGTGTAAAGTTAAATCATGAAGTTTTAAAATAAAACAAAAAAAAATAAATGCGGTTTTAACTCTGGCTGTAAAAGTTGTTTAGTTTGCATAACAAATTTAAATTTGAAAGTAATTGTCAACATGAAGCATAAATGATATTCAACAACAGTTTATAATTTTTATAAAGTTCCGATTACTAATTATTATGATATTCTGGTGTGTTGATTTATTTATAAACACTAATGTTGATTAATTTAATCAAGTTATTTTAACCTCCCAAGGGGAAAGAAAAACATTTGGTTACAGTGTGATAATCATTTATGATAATACTATTTGTTAACATATGGTAATGCTGGAAATTCGAATGCATTTATCATTTTCATTATTTAATTACAGATGCTGGCCGTGAAGCATTGTTGAGGATAAATTTACGTGAAGTCAAAGTTGAGGACGGTGTTGATATGGAAGAGATTGCTGGAAGACTGAGTGGCTATTCAGGAGCTGACATTACAAATGTCTGTCGTGATGCATCGATGATGTCAATGAGGAGAAAAATAGCTGGCCTACGACCGGACCAGATAAAGCAACTTGCCAAAGAAGACCTAGATCTTCCTGTTTCAAAACAAGATTTCCTAGATGCCATCGCCAAGTGTAATAAATCCGTTTCAAGAGAAGACCTTGAAAAGTATGATAAGTGGATGGCGGAATTCGGATCTTCGTGATGATAGTCTTCGTTTTGTATAAGGTATTTTTGAAATATTAAAAGTATATTTTTCACATTGTAGTATTATTTCATACTTGATGATTACCCTATTCTAATTTATGTAATAATTACCACATTATTATTAAATGCAGAAAAATAAATATATTTTTATTTATGATTGTGAAATTCCATCCATTTCAGTTTTTTATATTCAAACATAATTGTTGGACTTGGAAATCATATTAACTTAATCTGTTTAAAGTGATCTTGACTTTATTTATTTTATAATCTCATCTTGATTATATTTACAAAATGAATTATTATTCTCACTTTTTAAAATATGCTTGATAATGTTTGTTTGTATTAAAAATTCAAAGTATTTTTCACAAATTCTCTTATTTCTCTTAACAATCCAATTTTTTATTTATTTGTTCAATTGGCTAAAAAAAAAAAAATCAATCATTTTCATTTATTGATTTCTCTGTGCTAACATTTTATATATTAGGGTATTAACAAATCAATTACGTGGGCATTCTTGAGTCTTATTCGGATGGCAACATTAGAAAGTTGAAAAAGAAACTATGACGATCTATAACTAATGATTTACTACAAAGGGAAATATTCTCAACAATAAGAGTTTAAGAGATTTCAGATAAGAGTCGTTATAGAATTGTCAGGGATGCGGTCTTTAATAGCTTTAATACAATAATGATGCATCAACCTGAAATGACAGAAACGGGCTCAAGCCTCACATTTGTTTTTGCAGTTTGTGGTGTAGAAATATAAAAAGTACAATACAGATCTGTTCCAAGTACAAGTATTGTAATTATAAATGTTTTCAAGTTTTTTGTCCTTGTTTTATTTGATTTTACCTGTTTACTTAGTTGTTATTAAGGCATGCAAATAATTTTCTAATATTTATATGGGATTAAAAGACTTTTTTATGTTGTTAAAAACCAAATTTGAGATTTCCCCTATCTACCCCCAGTGAGGACAGGCCTGTCTTTTGTGAGAAAGTATGTTCTATTAAATTGAAATAGGACGGTCAAACTTCCTTTTGTGATCATGATGCAGCAATGCCAGTGTTCCATTCCAAATAAGGATGAACTAGTTGCTTTCTCGATCTGGCCTGTATGGCGCATTGTTAATATTGTTACATATCATCATCATTATCACTACTTGTTGAAGAACTGGTTCTTTTTTCAGTAACGCGCTCAACTTATTTAGATGGAATCAACTTGCTCACTGTCTGTATAGATATTATTAATTTTTCAACTAGAAATATCACTAAAATGACTTTACTCAAAAATGTTGAAATTGGCGTTAGTCTTTCTGTCAATTGAAACACCTATATAATGTTTAAAATTGCTTTGAGTTAGTATTTTCTTTCTATCAATTTTTATTTGTTCACTCACCTGTTATTATATCTTATTTGAATGTTGTTGAATCTATCATCAACTGTTTATTGATATTTATATGTTTTTTTTTCTTTTTCAGGATTGCAGGTCAATAGAAGAATTTGAATATTTCTTCTTAAAGTGCCGTAGATTTTAAACACCTCAGGAGAAGTCTTCGTTGATTTTAAATATGAAGAATATTTCTCCCTTCTCCATGATCTGAAGTTGCACTTAAAAAAAAAAAATGAAAGTTATACTTAATTGAGTTAAGTTTTATTAACCTGATTATGGTCGCCTTCTTCCATATTGTTTCGCATTAAATTCCAATTATAAATAGCGTCCACAATTACTAATGGCGGCACCGAATAAACACCTAGTAAAATCAAGTGATTTGTATAGAAAGTGCTTTGTATATGTATATAGGAACGCAGAGTAATTTTTATATTATGTTGTGATGGCCTAATTATGGCTATCGTTCTTCTTGTTAATGATCAAAACTGTTTACATAACAATGTGAACTGAGTTTACATGATTTGTAATATCTTAAGTTTTATATTATTGTAAATTGTCTTATAATCGACTTGTGATGATTGTTGTGGAGTTATTCTTGCCAGAGGTTAAAACATTAATTCTAATAACAAACGATACAATACTTAAACAATAATTGTGATGCTCATAATACCAAGTCTTAGAAATTTTTGTAAGATTTAATGAAATACTAATGAGAATATACTTTTGTATCCTGTAAGGAAGTGTAACAAAGGAAGACAATAAGGCATATCATTCGGTAATAGATTTCTAAAAATTTATTTTGGGCATAAACCTTTTTTATACTTCCCAAACAATGTGTATCTTTTCTATTAATTCTTTTAATCTTTTGCACATAGAAAACTCCTAATTTTATTATTTATTTTGTAGTTGATATTTTTGATGTACTTAATTTGATAACAATCGTTATTAATACTTATTGAAAGTTTGGTATTAATGTGATGCCTATTTAACTTAGGTTGGATAGATCTCATTCTGTTGAAAATATAGAATCAAATTAAAAAGAATATTTTGTCTTGACTTTTTTCATTGATTGAGATGTGACCACTTCGCGTTTGAAGTATATTGTTCTATTTATTTATTAATAAATTTAAGAACAATATTAGTTTTATAGATGTATTTATATTCCTTAGTCAAAGCTAATTGCCATTTCAAAACAATAAATTAATTCTGATGTAAGTAGAGTGTACAAATAAATTCTGTCATTTTTATCTATTCTTTGTTGGTGAATAAATAATACATATTGTTCCTCAACGGTTAGTTGACAATCGACTGATGGTCTGACAATTTAAGAAATTATGACGAGTATAGACGTAGGGAAGGATAGTTTCAAACAGCACCTCAACTTTATTTACATATTTCAGTTGAGTAGTTTTTTTTTAGTGTATAGTTTTTCTTTGTGTATAGATCAGTAAAAGTTGATCAAAAACTCTTTTTGCATATTAAAGTATCATAACAAACTATTATTCTATGTTTTGTAGCAATGGTATGATTTTACATTAACAGAGAATGTATAGTTGTAGTTTAATAGAATTTAATTTAGCTAAAAGTTTTTGCAAAAATGTAACATTGAACGTCAACATATTTTTGAATTTTGAAGAATCCCGGGTTAGACAGCCTTAACCACGACTGGTTTTAACTGAAAATAAAAACTATCAGAGTCATTAACATAACCACAACCATTGTCCTTTCACTGAGAGAATGCCTCTGAGTGGATTCAGCGTTTCCCCATCTGTGTTGCTAATTCATATTTTAAATCTAAATTGACTAATGAAGAATGAAAGGAAAAGAAAATAAAGAAGAAAACTGACAGGTGAGTATGTGGTAGAAACCAACTTAGTTGTTGGCGACATTACATCTGCATTTTATAACAAAGGGACTATAACAAAAATACTTTTGTTCTATGTAAGCTCAAGCTAAAAAATATGCTTTACTTTTATTCATTTAAATTTTTTTGTTATAAAAATGAAATTATCTGTAGAACTCCTGAAACAGTTTTCTCAATGAAAGTAAACAATTTTCATAATCAGGGTAATCCCTCCTTTATGTATCATCTGTTTATTTTTTTTTTAGAATATGCCAAATACTGATTACAATATTTTTAATCAGGAAAGCAATTTTATATTTGAAATTTATAAATAAGTAAAAAGTTTTTAATTAAATCTTACTTTATAACACACTGTAAATATACATTACTAAGCTAATACAGCACTGTCAGTTAAAGTTCTTCATGCTACTTAAAGTTAAGTGCAACATACTTAGCTGCAACTATTCCAGAAAGAGTGAGTCCAGCTGTCTACTTAATTGTGTCTTCAGCGTTCCAATTAAATGGAGATCTGTGCTGACCTGCTGATGTTCCAAATGTGGGCGATGCATAAGTGTAGCCCAACAACAGTGACTTGATAAAATTAGTTTAATCCAAATCAAATCCAGCCAGATGGTATTTTATGACTTGCAGGGAGATAGACAAGTTACATCAGTAGATGTAAATTACACAAAAATAACGATCACATGTAACTTATAAAGCCTATTTTAATGCAATCGTTTAAATTAGCTGTTGGCCTCAGCATTCGGTATATACTCTTAAATGAGAGGAGACAGAATTCAAAATTCTGGTTTGACTTATTTTTAAGAGAACATTTTTATTTGTTTAAATACCCTTATACATACAAATTTTAATTTTTATATCACTGTAATCTATACAATTAAATATTAAATAATACCAACGATAGTATTTATGAAAACTTCATATGTACATAATATAATCGGGGTACATAAAGGGTTGGGTTGATACCAGAATTTTTTATCTAGATACAACTGATCCGGGTACTTTTTTTTATCTGATACTTGTATCGGATATTTTATCTGATACTAGTGTCGAATATTTTTATCAGATACTCGAGTGGTATGCATACTGGCTCTTGGGCTTGATACCCCAATAATTGTATTGGACATTTTAATCCAACTGTAATTGATTACTGATCTGGTTTGATATTTAATTTAATAATAATAATTGCCTAATAAAACATATATTTAACATGTACCTGAGTGTATATATATATATATATATATATATATATATATATTATATATATATACACTCAGGTACAATATATACACATATATATATTATATATATATATATATATAAAAAATTTGTATATATCTGCATAGTACCTGACATAACTATATAGTCTTTATATATATATATATATATGTATATATATTTAAAATATAATAGTTCTAATGACTATATAGTTATGTCAGGTACTATGCAGATATATACAAAATTTTTATACAAACATAAAATATGATTTATATTTGATAAAAGAAAATATATTTAATTAAAAACAATAACAAATTCTTGCAGAGAAATTTTTTTCCTAATAAAAGATTCTAAAGAACTATATAACAATTAAAAAAAAACTCTTAATAACTATGTTTAACATACACAAATATATATAGATATATATATATATGTGTGTGTGTGTGTGTTTGTCTAATGTTTTCCTACCTCATTTTCAATTTTATTACAACAATCAACTGAAAGATTTAATTTATTCCTACCACCTAA